GTTTTAAGGCTTTGTATCATCTAAGAAGTATCAGGTATGGGCCTGCCTGAACTTTCCCCCAGGGAGAGGGGAGGAACTCTTCCTACCAGGCAGGTTTAAAGAGACAATGAATGACAAAACATAAGAGTTGCTTTTATGTTTACACCCTATGAGTCCTGTTTATTCAAGGTGCCAGTTCCACCTCTCAGTATGGGCCCCCCAGCCAAACCAGACAACGATATTCCCTGAACACCCCAGGAGGAGTACAATTCCACTTCTGTGCTTTGGCTCACAGTCTTCCTTGACTCCTCTTTCCGCACTGTATTTTTTAATGTTACTTCTTGCATTAGAGGCTGTTTGTACTTGTCTGATCTTTCATTTAATTTTAAACTGCTTGAGGGAAAGAACTATGTCTTATTTACCTCTGTGTCCCACGCATCATATATCATAGTACTTAGCACATGTAGACATTTGAATAAGATTATAGAATGACCAAATGACTGGTGAGTGAAATAATACGTTTGATGGCTGGTATGAATTATGCTTATGAAGGTAGAAAAGACAGAATTATTGCATTCTCATTGCCCCCCTTCCCTCCCATTGCCAAGCAGCGTTTGAAGAGGGTGTATCTGATTCACAGACCAACTTTTCCGATGCTACCTGCACACACAGTGTTCTAACCGCGTCTAAAGAGGACTTATCAGCTTTTTCTGGGCGTATATAATTCTTTTTCATTTTTTAAAAATTTAGATAAATGACAAAATGTCTATATTTTTAATAAAAAAATTACAGAATACAAATAAGCATTGCAATAAACAGTCACCTGCAAACCACCTCCCGGGCATAACCTACTGTCAACACGGTCTCATCTTTTTCCATGTGCCCATTTCTTTCTTGGAATAACAGTATAGGCCACTTGGGGTAAAATTAATATTTGTCCTGTTATTTTAGGGAGAGATTCTAAAAGGATTTATCATGTGCATGGAGGAGGAAGATGATGCAAAAGAATAAAATCCTGGATGTGTAGACCTGTCCCTGAGAGTGGGAGTCAAAGCTAAGTCAGTGAAATGATTCATTCAACCATTGTTATGTTCCAACACCCCAGGCTGAAGAGGGAGAGCTGGCCCGGGGACCAAGTGGGATCTATAGCAAACAGCCTGCTCCCAAGTCAGCCTGCCTCCTGCATCCTAGGCCAGTCTGCCCCACACCTGGCTGTGATGGTGATGAATACACCGGGAGCCGGAGCTACAACTTTAGAGAAAGGGGAGTGAGAGAGGGGGGAGAGGTTATAAGGGGGATATGGTGATGAAAAGAGACTTGACGGGGTGGTGAACACACAACACAATATACAGAAGATGTATGGTAGAATTGTACACCTGAAATTTATATAATTTTATTAACCATTGTCACCCCCATAAATTCAATGAAAAACAAAAACAATAAGCTACAACTCTTGAGGAGCTTTTTCTTTCTTCCTTAAAGCCCTGGGTGTTGATTGAATTTGGGAGGAGGGGTTTGAAAACTAGAATGTGGAAAAAAACTTTATAGCAGTTGTTTTCAGTTGGGGTGATTTTGCTCCCCAGAGAACACTGGCAACGTCTGGAGTTATTTGTGGGGTCACAACTAGGGGGACGGTGACACTGGCATCTAGTGGGTGGAGACCAGGCTTGTCCATAAACATCCTCCAGTGCATCGCACACCCTCCCACAACAAAGAAGCACCTGGCCCCCAAAGCCGGCAGCGCTGAGGTGCTGAGGTGGAGAAACCCTGCTTAAAACAAGAAGGCGAGAAAACACTTGGCAGTAATGCCTAGAAGAGCTAGGACTGTAAAATATTTATTGCATTACTTCTCACTCGCCCATTGAGATGTCTGTTTGAAAGCTCTTCTCCGTGAGTTTAGAGTCCATTGGTAGATTAAGAACGCTAAAGGATGTTATCAGTGGCCAGTGTTTTATGCATTTTTGAAAGGTCAAGGGTTGTCATAAGAAAGGGCAGAAAGTACTTCATGGAAATCATCCTTGAAATTATCCCAAGTAGCTTTTTAAAACGATTTCATTAAATTCAGTGGTGCAAATGGCCAAGTGGTTTTTAATCCAGGAGCAAAGCTGGGGAGAGGTGTGAGTGCGTGCATGTGTGTGTGTATGGCTGGGGGGTTGGGGGGGAGAAAGAGAATAATGGAGCTTCTTTCTAGCTTTGCTGTTGAGATTTATTTACTTTTTAACCAAATTAATCTCTTTGCAGTATTCCTTTGTGTTTGTCTTCAGGCTTGGGAGTGACTTGCAGGGTTCAGAGACAGCATTATGTACCTGTGACACTGACCCCATTGTTTATTTTCCATATTAAAAATAAAAGCACTTTGAGGGAAGACAAAGGGGGAAATGCGTGTTGTGGTGCAGCAGTGGGTGACCCAGCTGGAAGTCGGGATGGCTGTCAGGTCACCAGAACCTAAGAGGGCAGGGGGTGTGGTCGGTACTCGAGGAAGAATTAGGTGGACTGGAAGTAGAGGCACGGAAGTTAAGCATGTAACTTGCAAAGCTTTATATTATTTTTTTAAAGCTGGATTGAATCAGGAAATGTGGCTTCGCAGACATACAGAGATAAAACAGCTTGGCAGAGTTAGGGGAGGGGAGAGGGGACCTAAATTAAGTATAACAGTTGCCTGCAGTTTAGTTGCTGACAAAAAACAAGTAGTTTTCCCTGAGAAGCATGTGTAATCTGTCAAGACGGAAAAAAAGAACAATTAGCACCCTTCTTACATAAGAGCTTATTGATAGCACCATATTAATTTTAATCATTTAATTAAAAATGCTCCTCTATCTTCTTTATTGCAAATTAATAAACTATACATGTCCCTGACTTTCACTTGTCTCATGCTTAGCAAGGAAAACATAGTTTTCTCTGACCACCCAGTGTACAGCAATGAGATTTCCCCCCTTCATATCCCCTGACTGTCCCATAGATCAACATCTGCTTTATATTTTTCTTGTTGCTCTATCATCTGTCTATCTATCTATCTATCTATCTATCTATCTATCTATCTATCTATCCATCCATCCATCCATCCATCACCAAACACCACAAATTTGGTAGCTTAAAACAACAGAAATGTATTCCCTCATGGCCTAGGGGCCAGAAGTTTGAAATCTGAAAGCTCTGGGGGAGAATCTTTCCTTCCCTCTTCCAGTGTCTAGGAGCCCCAGGCAATGCTTGGCTTGTGGCTGCATAACTTCAGTCTCTGCCTCAGTGTCTCTGTGCTGCTTTCATAGAACACCATGGACCAGGTGGCTTCTAAATGACAGAGATTTATTTCTCATCATTTTGGAGGCTGGAAAGCCCAAGATCAGAGTCCTAGTATTTGGTGTCTGTGAGGACCCTCTTCCTGGTTCATGGACAGGTGTCTTTTTACTATGTCCTCACGGTGGAAGTGGTGAGGGAGCTCTTTGGAGTCTTCTTTGTAAGGGCACTAATCCCACTCATGAGGACTTCACCCTTATGACCTAAACACCTCCAAAGGCCCCACCTTTAAATACCATCTCATTGGGGATTAGGTTTCAACATATACATTTGGGCGGGGCACTGTGTCTGTCTTCACATGGCCTTTTCCACTGTGTCTGTGTCTTGTTCTCTTCTGTCTATTATGAGGACACTTGTCATTGGATTTAGGGCCTACTGGATAATCCAGGATGATCTCATCTTGAGATCCTTAACTTAATCACGTCTACAAATACCTTTTTTCATATTAAGATTACATTCACAGGTTCCTGGTGTTAGAACATAGATATATCTTTTGGGGAGGTCACCATGCAATTCACTACTCTGTCTATCTATCTGTCTGTCTGAGTTCTTTTTGTTTTTTTGTTTTCTGGAATGCTGAGTACACAATAGTTACTAATAAATGCTTATTGATTTGAAAGTTATTTGTGGTGGCCTTATTTTAAAGTGACCCAATTAATGGCTGAGCTAATTGCCTCACCTTGTTTCAAAGATATTCTGCCATTAGCTCTAAGGGACACCTGGACACAAAGACACTCCAGCCTTGCAAAGTGAATGTGTGTTTCAGACTAGAGACCACACATCTAACAGTCACACCTAAAGTAAGCGCAGTCCGTAAATTGAATTGTTATTATAACCTGTAAGAGTGCTGTTTTTCTAAATGTTAATCCTTGGGCTGCAATTAACTTCCTAGGTGGTCTTGAGGATTACTACCTCCAAGCAAGGTATAAATGTTTTAGTTGAATCGACTGAATTTATCCTTTATTAATTTGGGTGCCCTAGAAGAGAAAGAAAAAAAATCATCAGAACTTTAAAAATAGGGGGAGAGAGTCAATATATTAACACTAGAGGCCCAGTGCACAAATTCGTGCACAGGTGGGGTCCCTTGGCCTGGCCGGCAATTGAGGCCGATCGGGGCCATCTCTCCCAGTCCCGATCGGGGCCCAGGGCCGGTCGGAGGGATTTCGGGAGGTTGACCAGCTGTGGGAGGTTGGCTGTGGGAACGCACTGACCACCCAGGGGAAGCTCCTGCATTGAACGTCTGCCCCCTGGTGGTCAGTGCATGTCATAGCTATTTGTTGTAATGGTCGCTTAGGCTTTTATATAGATAGATAGATAGATAGATAGATAGATAGATAGATAGATGCTAGCTCTAATTTGATGCATGGAAATTAAGTTATAAAGCAAAGACAGATAGACACCGTCCTCTCTGTAGGTTCTGGAAACAGCATGGCCAAGAGGAAGGGACCCTAAGTTCTAGATCAGGAGACCTAGGCCTGGCTCTGCTGCTGTTTGTGTGGCCTTGGGCAAGTCACTTAGTTTTCCAGGCTTCAGTTGCCTACTTTTTCAGGAAATCCAATGGATTAAACCAGTAGTTTTTCCAACTTCCTTCCAGTGTGCCACGGCATCTTCTTCTAAATTGCTGCTTCACTCCCGCCTCATTGTTTTCTCCGAGATCAGAAAACTGGGTTTGGTTCCAAATTAAGAAACTCTGGTGTTTTTGTTTCTCTTCATGCACCTGCTTGCAGCGGAAAGCTACAAGGAAAGCCAGGCCATGAAGATTAAAGAGGAGCCCATGGAGGTTGACATCCAGGACTCGCATGTCTCCATATCACCCAGCCGGAATGTTGGCTATAGCACTTTAATCGGGCGAGAGAAAACCGAACCCTTACAGAAGCTGCCAGAGGGCAGGGTGCCCCCAGAGAGGAACCTCTTCAGTCAGGACATCTCTGTGAAGATGGCTTCCGAGCTCCTGTTTCAACTGTCAGGTATGTGTGTGTGTAGGAAGATGTCAATCATTGGGAATAATTGTGAGGAAAGCCGCCCAAAGTAAAAGCACCCACGTGATAGGATTTGTTTTTAGACAGAAATCAGTTTTGTTCCTCGGACATGCCTACTGCAACTCAAACTCAGTTAATAAAAGGTTGCCAAGTTGAACTCCTGCCAAACTTTCTTTAATAAATAGTTAAGAATCGTTTGAAATTAGAACTCTATTCAATCCTGTGCAAACGATCCCTGTTGACTAGGCTACACGTCTCACCTCTAATTTTGTTTAGGCAGTTGATCTGATTAACAGCCTTTTTTCTTCTTCTAATGTGCAAAAGATAAACTTCAATTTACTCCAACAGTGACTGCATTACCATGAATTCCAAATTAGTGTGGTCTGAATTAATGAGATTGTACTGTATCTCGCCCCCACCCCCCCCAAAAAAAATCAAGGAAAGGAAAAAGCAAAAGTTGAAGAGTGAGGATTCTTTCTGGCTCTAGCCTAGTAGAAGGTTTTCTGTAAACCAACTATGTCTACTTCAAATACTTGGAATTCAAAAGTGCAGTAATTACCAGCTTGGCTAAGGGTCTAGAATAGAATAGCTGAGCGTTCTAGTACCTACATTTTTCCCTTTGTTAACTCTTTCAAACTGCATACTTCTGTCCTTAACAGATTGTCTGAACATGATTGAGGCTGATGATAGGAACATGTATTAGATTTAGATTTACGTAGAGGTACCTCCCTTGTCCACAGTCAGGTCTATATATTGAAGTCCATGCATCAGTAAAGTTTGTTATTAATGTTGGATGAGCTCTTTGTGATGGATAACAAATTTAAAGCACCCATTAAGTGCCTCATTATTTAAGTATTCACTTGTTTTTCCCGCTAAGAAAAATACCAGGAAAGAGAAAAGAAGCTAGAATCCGTGTGCCACCATGATAGTCCACCTTCCATGGGCCGAGTCACACCCCCCACACCTGTGACACTATAGTTGGTGCCGAAAATGGAAGCCTCCAGGTTCTCAATCAAGGACTGTATTTGTGCAGAGTTCTGCCATGGTGGAAATAGTTCATTCTGTCTGCTTAAGAGGACACAGATCTGTGTAAGCTCCAAAACGTGCAAGGTGCTTTTTTTTTATATATAGGCTTAAAAATCTCTAAAAACAGTACAACTTGGACGATGATTTAGCAGTTACAATTGGCACAAGTGGGGCCTGTGAGGTTCTTTTCAGAGTCTTGTCTCTGAGAGTCCATTATCACAGTCTGCTATCAGCTCGAAACTTTGTGTCTGAGAGTTCTCACCCTGGCGCTGCCACAACTGCCCGGGTGACCTCAGGCAAGTCATTTAGCCCCGATTTCCTGCTTTCTAAAAGAACACTGCCTGGGAATCTAAATTCACCCTCATTGTCACTGGCGAGTGGACAGAAAGGAATTGTCCCCGCAAACTGGCGTGCAGCAGCTCCAGACTCTTGTTACAGAGCATGGAACAGATGTGGTACGTCTTTGTTGAATTTTTTCCCCAAATCCGTTAAGATTAGGTGGTTTTTTTAGTTGCCCTGCCATTGAAACCTGAAACCCTTGTAGAGTTGGCCGGGTTTTCTCTGGACACTTAAAAGAAGCCATTGAGAGCTGTGACAGTCGGGGCAGAATCTTCACATTTGAACTGCGTGGGGGAGGCCAGAGTTCAGCTTTTGTGTTCTTGGAAGCTAATTAAATAATTCCTGACAGCTGGTAGAGACAGACCTCGAGACAGAGGCAGGGAGGGTCTACCTCTCCTTGTCGAAGGATAGTTTGCGTCCTGTGTGACATTTATCAGCGCCAGCGCTCGGTGGCTGCAGCACCCAGAGGTCTTACGGCTGTTTTCATATCCCCTCTCACAAAGGGGCCGACGGTACAGAATGCGCAAAGGTTGCCATCGAAGTCAGGAGAGGAACGGTTGCAACAACGGCAGTTTTCCTGCTGAATCAGAGCGGAGCAGAAATTTTCAGCCGGGGAAAGATCCAGTAGAAATCACTATCTTTGTGCACGAGTGTGTGTGTACATGTACTTCCTCAGGCCTGATTAAAACCAGACAACACGCTTGAACGTTGTTGGTAACCGTTCCCTTTGATTGGTTTTCAATCATGTTTTTGTGGATGCTATCTACATGCTTCTGACGGTTGTCTTTACCAATGAGACAGGGAGGGTTCGGCTGTTTAAAAGAGAAACCAAAAAGAAAACCACGGGAGAGAAATGGTGAGGCTCTTTCGGCCGAAGCCTTAAAGACACAGTTGCGTGTGGATGACCTAAGAGAACTGTTTCATTCTTTCTCCTTCCAGAAAAAGTGAGCAAAGAGCACAATCACACAAAAGAAAACACCATCCGCACGACCACCAGGTAGGTGCTTGATGTGGGGGCCCTCAGAACACCCACGTCGAACATTGTTCCCCAAACCATGTTCCCCCACCGGGTTCGAAGGAGTCATGCCCTTGACCACCGTATTGTGTGAGAACTTTGGTTGGTGGAAGCAATACAGCAAGCAAGGACACTAAGGGGGGAGACCATTAATATTTATCAAACATCCAAGAGGGGTCCTTTGCTGGGGAGTTCCCTTATGCTTCTGTGTTCTACTCCTGACGGTCACTTTGTGAAGCAGGTATTATTTTCTTGGCAGAAGTTGCCACCGTATTGTGTGAGAACTTTGGTTGGTGGAAACAATAGAGCAAGCAAGGACACTAAGGGGGGGACCATTAATATTTATCAAACACCCAAGAGGGGTCCTTTGCTGGGGAGTTCCCTTATGCTTCTGTGTTCTACTCCTGACGGTCACTTTGTGAAGCAGGTATTATTTTCTTGGCAGAAGTTTCTGGGCCTGAGAGTGTAATGGGTGGCCCAGCGGAGGCTGGGAGCTGGGTCTGCGTCTCAGGACAGCCCTGCTCGGGTGGAGACCAGTGCTCACTGCAGCTGCTCCTACGTAGGTCTGAGGCCGCGGGCTGATAATCCGTCACCAAGGAAATCCCAGCATTTTATCTCATGGTATTAGTAGGAGGGCAGAAAAGGTACAAAGCAGAAGAAAGACAGTGCTTTAAAAATAAAAAACCTTGCAGGAAAGCCGAGATCGCTAACAACTGTGGGTAAGGAAGCTTGCCACTGGCTACAGGCAGTTTGAGGAGGTCAGCCAGAGTGGGCGCCCCATCAGGCTGCCAAATAGGAGGGACCAGCCAGTGCTGCCGGCCATCGGACTCTGAGTGGCTGAGGTGAGCGCCAGCAAGCGCAGACCCCGCCGCTGGGGATGAGTTGCTCCGGGGAGATGTGAAAGCTTTAAGCCAAAGAACTTGGCTTCCCTGAACAAACTTGGGTGCTCCCTCATGGGAGCGTTGATTAGTTTTGTGCCTTTAATTCTTGCAACAAGAGACACACGATGCTTTTCTCTTTGACGTGGTCTGGATTGACCTCAGCATCATCAGGCATGTGGAAGGGGCTCAGTCGAACCTTACCTGAGTTGTTTTCTTTTTCATTCTATGAACTGGAACTGAAGAACAACACACATCACACAGTAATAATGAGCACAGAGCCAGCCTGCCTCACACAGAGGTGACAGAGTGTTAGGGAAGGACCCTCCCGCTAACAGAGCAGGAGAGTGGTGTTAGCCTGGTCTCCACCGGTAAGGGCAGGGCTGGGAAATGGGTTTTGCGGTCTGGCCTGCGCATTGCACTGGGAAATGGGTCTGGCCAGTGGGAAGTCTGTTTCCTCTATGAAGTGGGATGCTCAGATAGGACATGTGGGCCGCTGTAGATTCCACCCTACCTTCTGCCTGCAATCCGAAGGCTATTTAGTGTATGTGCTTGTGTCTATGGGTTAAACACATGAAATGGGCCAGATTGGTACACATCGAAAGGTGGCAGGCTACAAACAGTAAATGTTCCTTTTCATTGGCTTCCATGGGCTTCTTGAAGTGTCGCTGGCCAAGTTCCCTGACAGCAGAGCCCGAGAGGGGTGTGGCTGTGGAGGGCTTTATGGAGGAGTGTTCTCTCCGGTGCCTGCGGGGGCAGGAGAGGAAGGCGAGGTCACTGAGCAAGCATTGGTTGTAGCTGGATTCGAGCTTCTGCTCTGTCCTACAGTGAATTCTGGAAGATGAACTGCACCAGAGTGAATCCTGCTTCGAAGCAAGGGTGCAGGTCCTTGCAGCCCCGTAGATTTCTCAGACTTCAGCAGGGGCAAATGTGACCGCCCCGGGAGGGGGCGCAGATGGTGAGGACAGTGAGCAGCCCACACTCCCAGCAACTTGGAGAGTGCAGGGGAGGGGGGGGGGTGGGCGGGGAACGGAGCAGGACCCCAGCAGCATCTCCCGTGGAGGTCCTCTGCTGCCTGCTGCTTTAAAAAAAAATATTTTGTTGATTTTTTTATAGAGAGGAAGAGAGAGGGATAGAGAGTTAGAAACATCAATGAGAGAGAAACATTGATCAGCTGCCTCCTTCACACTCCCTACTGGGTATGTGCCGGCAACCAAGGTACATGCCCTTGACCGGAATCGAACCTGGGACCCTTGAGTCCGCAGGCTGATGCTCTACCCACTGAGCCAAACCGGTTAGGGCTGCCTGCTGCTCTTTAAGCTTACATTGTAATATTTATATCACAGAAAGGTATGCGGCAAGACCACGTTATTTTATGATTTTCAGGTGTTCTCTGGGAAGAGGGGAGAGGAGGTTTGAACTAGCCCCAAACAAGTGAAATGAGCCTCATGGCCTTAATTGCTTTGGCTGGAGCTAGAGCATAATTACAGGATCGAAGAGAACGTTTTTTAGCCATTTGGCAAAAATGAAACAATCCTTAAACCCTTCTCCTGATGGGAGCAAGAAGAAATCAGATCTTTTGCCCAAAGTAAAAGAAGAGGTGCTGCCTATAACCCCCCCCCCCATGCAATAGTGCTCAGAAATCAGTATTACAGAATTCTTGGTTTATTGTTTTTCTACAAAATCCTCCGTGTGTTTTTATTTTTCCTTTGAGTCGGCAACTTACTCAATTAGCCTCTCCTCAAATAGGCCTCTTTTTTTACCTTCTCACCTCATTACTTCAGGTGAAATAGAATCAAGCTACTTTGTGCCAAGAAATCCTCTTTAACCTGAGTTAACTGATAGCAGAGATGGGGGGAGGGGGGATGCCAACTCTCTCCTTTTTTGAGTCCTGGTTTATTTCATATGCACAAGGTCAACTTACAGGTTATGTTTTAAGGTAATATTTGGGACACTTTTCAGAAAGATCTGCATCATCTCCACATTTCCATATCTCCAGATTTGTAAGGACTTAGTGGGATGTTTGGTTAGCTATCAGATTTCTCATGTTTGATTTCCTAGAAGCCTCTGACTGTACAGAACAATGGCTCATGATTGGAATCAAGTTCAGAGTCTACCGTGTTTTCGAGTTGCCAGGCACATTTAAGACGGAGCGTAATTTAACAATGAAGTATAATGGGGAAGGGAAGCCCTGGGGTGCTGCTCCCAGGGATGTATTCCGATCAAGCTCCTTCCAACACCAATGGATGCATGAGCTCCTCGATTCAGTGACACCTCCTGCTCATGGGGTCTGACACCCGGGGGGGGGGGGGGGGGGGGGGGGAACAATTCAGGCCACACTGAAGAAAGGAACTGACTCTCTCCCTGTCCTTCATAAACCCATGGCTTCCCCCACAAGTGTTTATCATTATTGATCTTGATTCTCATTCTAACCACAAGAACGAAGGAAAAGTGTAGCCACCCAGGATGAAACCTGGGTTCTCAACCTTCTGGCCCTTTAAATACAGTTCCTCATGTTGTGACCCAACCATAAAATTATTTTCGTTGCTACTTCATAACTGTAATGTTGCTACTGTTATGAATCGTAATGTAAATATCTGATATGCAGGATGGTCTTAGGCGACCCCTGTGAAAGGATCGTTCGACCGCCAAAGGGGTCTCGACCCACAGGTTGAGAACCACTGCTCTATAGGTTGGCATTTCTATTTGTGCTGACCAGTGAGACTTGGGGGTGCTGATTTCCCTGCCGGGCACCAAGAGAACATGATGCCCGTGGATGTGTTTACAGTGAACTCTCCATCCCACACGGGCCGTGACTACACCTCCCTCCTCATCACACCCTCCCTGGTCCCGGCTGTCCATTGGCAATCGCGCTGTTTGTTAATACCTCTGTTATAAGGTGGGGAGATATGGAAAGAGAAAATGATGTTAGACCGCATTCCTTGTTAGCAATGTTTAAAAAGAGGCTTAGGTGAAGCTAAAGGTTGAAACTAATAACTAGCAAGTTCTGGATCATTGGTTCTCTGCCTCATGTTTTGTGTGGTGTGTTGTTGTTTTTTAACTCTTACAATGGAAAATTTCAAAACTACAGAATGTACTCATCCTTCAGTTTGAGCAATTATCATAACCCATATAATTTCATCCATCCTCTCCTTTTGGTTCCCTTCTCTCTCCCTGGATTATTTTGAAGCAAATCCCAGACATTTAAAGAACTGGTTTAAGAATGTCTTTTTTTTTTTTTAATCCTAAAAACTTAGACTCAACTGCTTCAATTGGGATCATCTTCCCAAAAGTAAAGGAGGAAAACAATCACCGAAGTGCACCATGTGGCCAGGCAGAAAAAATCAATCTACGTAGCAGCCAGAATGATTGGCTCATGTGGTCCTGCTCACCAGTGCCTGGACCTCACCCCTCCTCCCTCGTGCATGCCCTCCTCCGGCACCTCCATCGCATCAGTCCCTTGGTTGGGACATCACTGGAAATACTAAAACAGCCGTTCCTTTGCCTGTTTAACCTTAGAGTCTAGAAAATTCAAACCAAGTGTAAAGAAGCCCGTGTGTCTCCTTTGAGATAGTGTGTGGACGGAGTGTTCTTAACGCCATCCGACCTGACAAATGAGATGGGAAGGCAGGCCAGCCAGAACCATGAGAACAGAAGGCTTGAACCCTTAAGAGATGAACCAAATCCTGGTTTTTCTATTTCCTTCCCCCGCACAAGCCTGGGTTCCACAGGGACCAGATAACCAGCTACTATGATTGTTTGTTGATGAAAATATATGAGGCATGATATCATAACCAGATCCCAAAGTTTAATGGAATAAAAAGATCTCCATCTTCTGACATGGACCATCACCCAGCCAGGTGCAGGATAAGATCGAAATAGGAAAATGGAACCCTAGAGTCAGAGTCAGATAGCTCCTGGCAGGTGAATTGGACATGCTCAATGTTGTATAACACCATGGACTTCGAACAATGGCTGCCAAGAACCCTCTCTTGGTTATTTGTTCTCCTTTCCCCATTAATAATTCAGTGTCCCTGGGGATATAAGATTGCAGGCCTATAAGAAAAACTTCTCACACCTGGCACACTTTATTCCAAAAGCAAG